CTTAGATAGTAATAATTTTTAATTACATATTACATTCTATGTATACTGTACTCATTGTAATTTCTGTGATTTGATTGTATCTTTGGCTCTCGCATTATATAGTTCTTTACCAAATCAATCTCATTCATTATTTCAAAATTCCGGATAATCCCCCACACGAATTTTTGCTTATTATTAAAAATATATCATTGAAGTGCACACATTTAATTATCAACATTTTACTGTTATTTGGTAATTTATATCAAAGCTACTAATTTTTAAAAAAGTTAATGTTTCATGATCATAGTCGTGTTTACTTTAACTTATTTTGAATTCGTGACCTTTTGAGTGCTTTACCACCACCACCAACACACACCCACCGTATGGTACCAATTGTAATTCAAAATGGCGAGCAAGTTTTACCAAGTTTTTATATTTGTAAAGTTAATCTCTGGGAAATTATTTTAAAATAAATTGCAAAACTTGTACCGAACAGACAAATACTGAAACAAATCAAACTGAAGTCAGGTATCAACTTGCAGTCCATGGACACCTGCAGCTAACTTCAAACAAAGAAGGTTTACAGATGCGTTGTTACCTCTTGGGGCTTATTAATAGATTTTTTTAAATAATTGATAGAATTAGGCTTTGCGGAAATCTATTATAATAGGCCCGCCACATACCTGAATTCCGAAACGGAACAAACGGGTTGGCCACACACATTTACATGGACTTGCTGGTTTCGGAATCCCAAATCTGAAATCCGAAACGAAATCCCGTATTTATGGCTTGCATTTTAACATCTTAAATCATGCCCGGCTTTAAAGATGTTAAAATAAATTAACTAAGATCTGAGTAATAAAATGTTGTGTATACCTAGTTTCAAAAACACCTTCCTCATTCTATCAATTGCGTGCACTAGACCCACCACTGCTAATCCCAACACCACGACACTGGGAAAGACATACCATCGTCGATAATGCGACAAGTGTTTCTATACGAGGCATCGTCAGCAGAAAGACGAAGATCATTCAAATTAAATTCAAAAAAAAATTAACAGGACTATTTTTAACTATACAATATGTAACGTAATTAACGCACACCCTAAGACACCCCAATTAGTATATTATGTTATAATCATAATACATACACTGAATTGTTAGTTAAACATTTTTATACACTGATTATCAAATTAGTTATACTAATTCCGGAAGAATGTGGTCACAGTACAAATCCACGAACGCAGACTTTAAAGTGCTTGAAATAAAGTTCATTTTTCTTTATTTTTATTGAATGACAGAATTATTAATAATACAAATAAAACTGCACTCTTAAAAATCTTATCGCCTTAAGTTACGGTCCATTTCAGTTTGTTTTGAATGTACAGATTTAGTGTGACTGTAATTTACGTAGTTTTAATTATTTTTGGGATAAAAAAAATTACCTATATTAAAATGATAGGAATCGATTCTGAACAAACTACTTTCTCAGTGCGTTAATTACGTTACATATTGTATATTATACTGCCAATATTGAATTCGCTTTTTATAGAGTAAATTATATCTGTCGAAATGTTAATTATGGATGATTAATTCGAATTTTACATGCTAATGGAGCTTAATTTTTTTATTTGTATTTATTTACATATTGGACGAGGAATTTATTACGAATCATTTAATTTAAAATATACTTGAATAGCAGGAGTTAGCTGTTAAGTACGTTCCCTTGCAGTTCACCCCTAAATGTGTCGTGTTGTGAGTCTGTAATTATACTGGCTGTCTACACCCATCAGACCGGAACACAGCACTGTAATCACTGCTATTTGGCTGCAGGAGAAAGAGAATGGAGTCCTAACTCCTAATATAAAACCTGTGTGCTCGTTTGTCACCCTTACTTCCTTAAAAAAGGCAATTTTTAACTTTTCTCCTCGTCATCAGTCTGTTTATTTTAACGTCACAAGATATTCTGATTAAGATTGTTCTGGAATTTCTCTTATTCCCTTTTTTACGAGACCCACGGTACGACGGGGGTGATCAACGCTCTTCTTACGTAGCATTTTCTGTAACGTAGCATTTTCTGTCATCCAGGCCTTTCTGATATTAAGTATCAGAATATGATTTAATCTAATGCAGTAAACACGATGGGAATAAAACATTAAATAGTAGTAAAATACATTTTTGCTATAATTATTTATTACTAAAAAGCAATAAATAGGGTGAAGATAGACTCTATCAATAAATTAACAAAGGTTTATTTCCAACTTTACTACACATATCGTTAGAGATATATTTGGCATCACAGTACATACTTTCAAAGTTTAAAATAGTTTAAAGTTTTAATAAACATGTATAACTAATGTGTTAATCAAAATTTTACAAAATCCTTTCGCTCTATAGGCGGCAAGACCATCCACAGGTTAGAAGTATAACGTTTCACGATACTAATTGACAGCTGGTAAGTAATACAACAGTACAACTCTGTTAAAATGAACAGCGGCTGAAATCAATCCCATTTCAATTCGTCCATTCGCTCCAAATAATATTAATTTATGAGGCTCTTAGTTAAGAAGACTTAAACTACTGCACATTATACAGATGTATTATGCGTTTCAAATAGGAAGCCAGTATCTGCAGCATTTATTCGGACTTTACCAAAGACATTTAAGTTAGTATATATATTTAAATCTCTTTGGAATTCACATTTAAAACTAGTGGTAAGCATTTTTCTTAGATAAATTTCTGACATTAATTGTATACCTATAAATAACACTACCATCTGCACAGGCCTTATATCGCGGTATACACATTGGCCACTTTGCACCCCGTATTGTATTAAGGCCAACACACCTATGTGAAGGTCGATAGAGATGAAAAACTGGTCTAGCAAATCCAAAAGTTTTCCATACAAACTGTGACGCACCACGTCACATTTTGGATATTTTAATCTTGAACCCAAGGTTGAGTACACACTGTAAATGGTGATATAGGCTTCACTTCATGATATATGCAATTATCAATTTCAGTTCTTAATGGTGCCATCATCAGGGATAAAACTAGTAAAACTCGCGTGATTTTATGCTCCCAGCTACTGAAATTAGAATTTTACTTTTAAATAAGATATGGCAACTAGTCAACTTCCTAATTGAAACGCATTTTAGGTTAAAGTGAATACTAGAAGACAATCGTGAGACTGATAACATAAGTTATAAAAGATATTCAAATTAATTCTGATTAATCTTACAACATCAATGAAAACGTACAAACAAATATATTTGAAACATTTAATTATTACAATTAAAACTATATTAAATTGTATATAAAAGAGCTTACCGTATGGCTTTTTGGTGCAAGGATATAATAGTGTAATTTATTACTACAGAATTTAAGATATATTCGACTTAGAATATAAATTATTTCTTTTATTTTACTATCAGTCGCCTTTGGGTGCGTCTGTCACAGAAAAGTTTGGATGCTATGCCAATTTTAACGTATGCTAAAATGCGCATCTTAGCTGTAACGATTGGAAGAGGAAACAAAACATTCATGCGGCCACTTTAAAGCACCTCATCCAAAACCAACATCTCCCGTACTTATATTTGTATTTATGGGTATTAATTTTCGTCATTCGAAAAACAGAAGTATTTTTACCCTTTTATTTCGAGTAAGATTTTTAATAATGAGAATGGTGTAAAAGTTCTAAGGCTGAAAGGTGATTCATCTATATCGTAAATATAAATAAATGTTTATTTCTCATATATATTATAATAATATTCATCCGATTACGATAAAATTTTGAGAAGTTGTGTGCGAAGATTTCTGAGCAAAAAATTGACATTTGTTTGTTTGTTTTTCTCCTATACTTTATTGAGTATAGGAGAAAATATTAAACGCATTGTAAACGAACGAAAACGAAACACGTGCCCGCGAATGTTTCCGTACAAACAAGAGAAATGGTTAAGAGCAATTAAAAACCACGACTGCGTAAAAAAACGTTACAAAAAAGAGAAATATTCTATATCCTACTAGCGATCTTTTTACTAGCGGCTTTAACAGCGTCACCCTTCCTATAACCTTCGCGGAAATGCAAGCAATATGTTGACAAAATGTTACCGCAATTTGATGAACGGTATGAGAGCGAATAAAATACGAACAAACAAATATTAATTTTTATACATTAGATGTCACTTCCACAAATAAGACAAAAAAAATTGAAGCGTATAGCATACGTTAAAATCGATCAAGCCGTTTGGACTACATAGCGTGCCAAAGACGTAGACAAAGACATTCATAAAAACAAGATTATGCTTACAGTCAAGTCTAATTCATAAATATATCTTTCATACAAAGACCAATAACAATTTTTTTAAGATAAAATGGTAAATTTTTTTAAGATAAAATGGTAACTAGGTGGTGTCGACGCATGGCAGCGGCTGTATTAATTATTTAGGGCCGTAAACAAAATTTTATATTATTGACAAGAGAACAGAACCAAGTACAAAGTAATTATGCACCCGTTTACTAATTTTAAGTTTGCGTTTGATTGTCGTTACTTTTATTAGCTTCTAATAACTATGTTTTACGAGAGCTTTTCGTTTTTTATTAAAAGCACAGTTTCAGATTGGGTTTTGCAATAGTATGAAATATTCTTTGTATGATAGTTGTCTATGTCTAAATACTATTTACTTTATTATTCTACACGGTCTAAGTTTAGACATGGACAAGTTTTAAACTTGTGTCGGTAGTACCTATGGTAACGGAATCCTTTCTTATAACTATTTTTTTATTGAATTGAATTAAATTCTAACGAATTCAATTTTACATTGGGACTTTATATAATTAATATTATATTATTAATATGCCAATTATTTGCGGAACATAACGAAATGCATACATTGAGCTATTACCGACAAATAGATACAGATTGTGACCTCCTTCGCAATAAAGTTAAAATTTACTTATATTAGAGGCGGTTATGTATTGTTAAAGAGTTGAAGCGATGTTGCGGCCACTTTAGTTCTTGATTCATGGGTTGCGTCGTAATTTTGAGAAGAATCTGTAAATGTTAATCAAAAATCGTAATTAAATAAAATAATAATCAAAAGAATATATAAAAAAATAAATATATAAAAAATAACTTCCTTATAAAAACTAATTAACTTCAAAAAAGTTCTAAGATTATAATTATTTACTTTAGTAAATTGACGAAATACAGTGGATATTCTTACACCGTGTACATCGGTCAATAACATTTTTGGAAAAAAAATATATTTCTATTAAAAACATTTCTTCTTCAGAGATCTGTAAAGTGTTTTAAAATGATGCGAAACACAAGAATGCAATGTAACATAAAAATGAAAATGCAAATAAACTTACCAGAAGCGAAACATGCTGAGTATGCATTGACGCAGTGATCAGTGCGAGATATAACCAAGTGCGAAGTGGGTACATATTACATACAAATTTGATAAGTAATTGAACAGTTGTGTTGTGGTTACAATCAGAAATACAGAGAACACCAATATTCAAACTAAAGTGACATTAAAGATTTCAAAAAAATGTATTTAAAAAAAATATCAGATTTCAATTAAAATGAAGGTCGGTATTTAGAGACAGTCTCATGTTTAAACTTGAAACTAAACGATGTCAACATCTTTGTAAAATAATATGACCTGGACTCAAATTTCAACATTGTGGAGTTTGAACTTATGTACTTGAGTTTATCAAGATTATATCCGAATAGGTACCAGCTTTGGAATTATTATAAGAATGTCTATAATAATAACCTCCAGACTGAATTTCGGTCACGGCGGGCAGTCTCAACGGTGACTAACCATCGGCGAAGGACAGGATTATAGTGCCCAAGTGTATGCGCAAGCACAGGTGCACTCTCTCTTCCTTCACTCTCATAGTTCGATGGGAGAGAGATAGGGTAGACAAAGGCTTACGGGGGGTGAGCGCCAATTCTTGACTCGGGCTGCTACTGAGAATTTCTTGACAGAAAAACTCAATAACTGATTTTTAGGCCCGACCCGGGATTCGAACCCAGTACCTCATGACCAGCAGTCGCGTTTACGACCACTAGACCAACGATGCAGTAAAGAATATAAGAGTATCTATAACCGAAAAAGTACTTGGCTACTGCTTCTCTGATCCAGGCTTTGAATCTCAAGCAGAGTTAACATCTATGCACAAAAATTGTTGGTTTTAGGGTCTGCGGCTATTATATTGTCAAAAACATGGAGCCTATCACAATTCATTAGTTTATATTCGACTTCCTTATTGTATACTATATATTTTCGATTATATATTTCCATATAGTATAAGCAGTGCATCATCAACACAGGTAGTTCAGAACGTATAAGTGACTACATTTGCAGCAGTATAATATTAACTGCGCAATCTATTGCTGTTGTAAAAGTTGATATCGAAACTTTTTGCAATTTTCATTAACTCTATAAGTCATAATTTGTCCTCTTCCTACCACCTGTATGCTGATGATCTCCAAATCTATACTCAGTCCTCTCTTGAAGATCTATCTAAAGCAATTGACACTATTAACGCTGATATGACTTGTATTTCGAATTGGAGTAAATGTTATGGTTTAACGATTAATCTTAAGAAAACTCAGGTCATTGTCATCGGTAGTTCTCGATTAATTGGTAAAATTGACTGGTCTTCCCTACCCCCTATTATACATTATAGACTGCACTCTAATCCCTTACAGTAACAAGGTTAAAAACCTGGGGTTGTATCTTGACTCCTGTATGTCTGGACCTCACAGGTTAATGAGGTCAGTAGAAAAATGTTTGCTGCGTTAAGCTCTTTACGTAGATTACGTAATTTCCTTCCCACAGCAACTAAAGTTACGCTCGCCCAGTCTCTACTTCTGCCTATCCTTGACTATGCTGATATTTGCTATCTTGACATTACCGAGGAGCAGCTTAATAAGCTTGAGCGTATTCAAAATTTATGCATTAGATTTATATTTGGGCTTCGCAAATATGATCATATCTCCGAATTTCCCAAACAGCTCAAATAGCTCCCGATCCGCCTTCGCAGGAATACTCACATTCTCTCCGCGTTGTATAGTGTGCTGTTTAATCCTTCTACTCCTCTTTATTTAAAAAACCGTTTCCAGTATCTTTCTCTTACCCATAATCGGTTCCTTCGATCCTCCGTCAATCTTTCTCTCTCTACACCTTTGCACTCTTCTTCCTTTTTCAAGAAACCCTTCACCGTAACTGCTGTGCGATTGTGGAACTCCTTACCTCTCCATATTCGTCGCGCTAAATCTCTTCACTCTTTGAAAAGTCTTGTTAAATCGTATTATTTAGAACGCTATTAGATAAATTACTTTAACCTTTCTCGTACTCTTTTGATTTAATCTATCATATGATATTTTATATATAACTTTCACTTATTTTTATTTGTATGTATTATTACATTTTTTATTATTATTTTGTATGCCCCCCCCTCTATTTTAACTTTTGTTTGCATCATTCCTCTACGCAAAGGTTGTCTGGAAGAAATCACTTTCAGAGTGATAAGACCGCCTATTGTACATACTTTAATTAGTTTTAACTGAACTTGATGTTTCTGTATTGTGGTGTACAAAAAAGAATAAATAAATAAATAAATATATTCATAAATAGTTGTTAAATATAAAACATACACCATCTGTACAATAAAAAGAACATAAAAATTTTCGCTGCTTATATTAAGCTGAAATAAAATAAAAAACAAAGGTTTGATCGAGAACATTTTCATATAATATCTTACATTTAACAACTTACATGGATACACCACAAGCAACGCATGCGTGTTCTTGTTTTCCTGATCTTGGGGTTTTTACTTAAAATACACTAAACCAGGACATTACATTACATTTTGTAAACGACATTTCAACGAATTCCATTTTAAATTGTTATCTACGAATATATGGCGGATGTTCCTTTGTGACAATTTAAAAAAGCCACCACGATTTTAACAAATTGACATTTGTCACAGTTTACAGAAAGTTTTAATAAATAATCTAGCAGATCTATTTATGCATTAGGCAAATAATATAAAAATAACGTAAAAATGAAATTAATCCCCTTTGATATAGAAGCGCCAAACAGTATACTGAAACTACAAAAAATTCAATTATGAGCATCGTTGTTCATAAGTCAATCATAAGTCCTTGAATATTTAAGTCAAGTATTTTTGTGGTCTAAATGCAGTTTCATTTTCATAGTATATACTATTAAAGAAAATATCGTCTTCGTGGAAATATTATTAAAAAATATCATACATATTGCCAGCAAGATGAGACAGTGTGTCGTGGATTCTTTTTATTAGAAAGTAAATAAAAAATCTAATTAAATAATACTATGACGCTACCTTCAATAGTACAACATCATTATCTCTTTGTACTGTACAAAGCAAAGTAAACTATTTAAAGGAAAACACAGATAAAATAGAATAAATTACGCAACGTAAAATGATAATTTAATACAAAAATGCTATTAAATAATTAAAAAAATCAATATTAAGATTCAATACAATAAAAGTGCTCAAGATTTACAACAATTGTAGATTATTAAATGGAACAAAATATAAAAATAATATCGAAGGATACGTAGGCAAGATTATAGACATGATTTAACTTTCATTTTAAATATTTGTATAAATTATAAAACACTAAAATAATCTGTTATAAAAATGACTTTAAATTAACGTATTTTTAAGTTATTTTATAAAATTAAGATATTCTAAATGAATTTCTTCAACAAACAGTGTTGTTAGTCAAATGTTAAATTCGACAAACACGTTACATAAATACTTGTACTTAATTGTACATAGGTCATATTTTAAAAATTAAATAAGCGACTGTGTGTAAATAAAACTATACTTAATAGCAGTAACTTCACTGGAAACGTTGCCTTTACAAAAGAAACTACTACTACTTTAAGAAAGACAAAACGACTGTTTCGAAGTATGTCAGGTATGTCATATCCTTATATGAAGGAAAGTTAAACTAATAACTTTGAATCATGCTGTATAGCACCAGAGTTGAAAATGTTACAAACAACTAAATCGAGCTCGCAACGTTTGTAAGAGACATTATAATATGTCGAGTCAGTTTTGTATCAACAATTCGAAACAATAATTTTGTCATGGTACCGGGTAGAACATCAATAAATAATAAAACTAAACTATATCATACATCGTTCTGTGTTCGTATTTCGTTCGCTGCGAATTATTTCTTCTTCTTCTTAAGCTTCGGTATTCTGTAATGCGGTGCGGGTGAAGTTAGATGCAGGTATTGTGTATTTTAGAGTGTATTAGTAAAATAATTGTTTCTTTTTACGAAAAGTATGCAATAGATATTGATATACTTTGTTGTGTCGATTTTTTTGACTATAAATTCTAGTTTTTAAGTAAATTGGAACAAACAATTAAGTATTTTATTACAGTTTTATCACTTGTGCTTATTTCATCGCTTATTACACCGATCGGTTTCGCCTTACGCCATCATCAGGATAATCATTTGCGACAGCAAAATGAGAAATTTTATAAAAACTTGTGGTGGTTGGAAAAAGCTTAGAATTATCTTTTAATTTAATCTTTAAAACAGCATAATTATGATAAAATTAATCTTAATTGAAAATAATTTAATTTCAATTTAATAAATTGTTGAAGTTAATTATTTCCCGTTATTACAGTCTCACAGTCTTGAGGACTTTTTCATATTATAATCCTACAGCTACAAATTTTAATGATTTTAATACCATTTCCTGCCAGTGCGTGCTGACTGTCATTGCAACTGATATATCCTAATGTAGTCCAGTAGCATAAAAGCATAAAAAGGGGTCATCCTCGGAATGAAAGATAATAAGCTGAATTTTCGTTTATATCTTCATTTGAGCGTTCTAAAAGTTGTCTCAAAAGTCTCATAAAATCTCTTGTCTGCGTTGAAGTCATTCAAGTTCAAAGGTAAAAAAAAATTTCGAGATTATCTCGGTTTCTATTGCTGCAATGATGTTAAAACGCAAGGTAGTATTCACAGATATTCACAGTCGACCTTTCATTACAGTACGTAAGTGCTGCGAGCTCACTGCCCTCTATAGCAAAAACGATTGATCGCATGTAAAAATGTTTCAAATAAAATTTGTCGCAAAGTTTATGCTCTACAATTTTTTTTATTGTTATAGATGTTTATATTATTGGAGCAATAGAAACCGAGATAATCTCGAAAAACTGTTTTTTTACCTTTGACCTTGAATCACTTACGACGCAGACAAGGGATTTTATGATACTTTTGAGACAACTTTTAGAACGCCAAAATGAAGGTATAAACGAAAATTCAGCTTATTATCTCTCATTCCGCGATTGTTCCCTAATTTGACTGGACTAAATGATTCTGTAAGCCGAAACCAGTGAGATTAATTTAATAATTACCTAAATTAAGAATTACAGTGAAACAAAGTCATAAATTCGTCGTCAATAATGATGGAGTTACATTCACCAAGTGACAACCGTCGCACGTATAAAACTTTAAAAAAAGTTTATATTATTTAATTTTAATAAAGGTAATAAGTATCAAGAATTTAAACAAGATCTTTTTTTCATAAGAAAAGAAAATCGACACTAAAATAATTGTGAATCTAGAGTTTTTGCCGTCACATAATATAGAATGCATTCATGAATTAGTGAAGTGCGATACTATGTGATCGGTTATTTACATTTTTACATTCGATGGATTATTATTCATAACGCCCTTCCTCATAAAAATCGACGTCAATTTAAGAGATGCTTAAAGATGATCTTTCTCTTTTTACTAAATGACAATAGAAAGAGAGAGATATAGAAATAATCAACACTTAGTTCAAAAAAGTATTAATCAACGATTATAAATAAGACCATCAATTCCCAAATAATCGATTTTCAATAAAGGAAGGAACATTATAATATTAAGAAATAAAAGTAATAAAAAAGGGAGTGATCCAACAAGCCTCGATTAATTGGGGAAATAGTTTCGTAAAAAATATTTACCCAGAACTTTTCTTGTAAGGGGAAGACTGTGCTTTTTCCGACTCCAGTAATTTTGTTGAGGAATCTTTTTTTCCGCCTGAAAATTCAACCAGCGTAATTATTACGGGTATGTTAGGAATTAAAAGCTAAATGTCACAAATTAAAACTAACAAACCTTGGTCAAAAACTCCAAAAGCGTGGCTTCCTAAAGCATCAAAACCGCTCGCAAGTTTGTCAGCTCCACTCGTTATAGTATTAGTCATAATTTCTTCAGCATCTTTAAAATCATTTTTTACTGCTTCTTTTGTTTCTTCCAACCGCGCACCGGCGTGTTCTACGCCCTCCTTGGCAGATGCTTTAACATCCTCTAGATTGTTGTCAGCTGATATTTGGAAGCCTTCAAAGGTATTTCTCATATCTCCAAACAACTCTTTAGAGTTTGATTCGACATTTTGTACAGTGTTTTGAGCACCACTAACATATTCTTTTACTGAATCGTCCAAACTGTCGAACGTATTTCCGGCGGAACTTTGAAAACTATGCAACGTATCCTGTGCTGAATTTTCCAAACTTGTCACATCGTCCTTCATATCAGCGTAAGTGTCCCTTGTTGAACTGTGTAAGTCTTCCCACGTATCTTTAACACTGTTCGCTTTGTCCTTAGCAGAACTTTCGACTTTATCAAAAGCGCTCAAGGTCGATTCTTGAATATCATCAAACGCATGCTCCGAGGATTTCTGAACGTCACTAGCTTTATTAATAGCTACATTTTGTACTTTATGAAGTTCTTCATTGCCGGATTCTTTTAAGTCTTCGATTTTGTTTGAAACGTTATTTTGTATGTCTGATGTTTTATTGGAAGCGATTTTCACAATAACGTCTCCAGATTTTTTAATTTCTTCTGTCGTCGCCACAGCTTCTTGCCATATCCTTTCTAGTTGGCTCTGAGCTTCACTCTGCAAATCATCTTTTGCATGCCTTATGTCGTCTATTTTGTTTTCGATAGCCTTCGTTAGTTCTTGCTTTTTGTCATCAACGACGGCATTAACTTCTTTTGTCTTATCAATAATAGCTTTCTCTGCTTCCTCTTTCTTTTGTTTTACTTCATGTTCTACATCAGCCGTTTTATCTTTAGTAGTTTGTATAGCATGTTCAATATCTTCGCTTAATTCGTCCTTCTTTCTTTTAAGATTTTCTTCAATTTGATCCTTTTTAGATGATGACTTTTGTATTAACTGATTAGCTGATTCCTTCGATTCTGAAGCCTTTTCTTTGACGTTATCTTTTTCTTCCTGTGCTATCTTTTCAGCAGCTTTCTTACCGTCTTCTAATTTGTCACATATTTCATCTTTTTTGTCCGAAGTTTGTTTTATAAGTTGATCTGCATATTCTTGTGTTTCAGATGCCTTTTCTTTTACTTCGTTTTCAATTTTGTCTTTCTCCCCAAATATATTGTGTACAAGTCCAGTGAAAAAGTTCTTCCCTTCCTTTTTCTTCTTTTTCACTTCAGTTTCAATTTGATCTTTTTTCTCGCTAGCTTTAGATTTGACATCAGCAGCAGCTTTCTGGCTTTTTTCCTTTGCACTATCGATGGATTCATTGATATCATTAATTTTTTGGTTTGCTGCATCTTTAAAGTTGTCTTTTTTATTTTCAAAAGCCACTTTAATATCTTGTGCCTCATGATTCAATTTATCTTCTACATCATGTACTGAATCAGCGATTTCTTTTGACTTTTTACTAACATTTTCTGTCGCATTTGCGAGATGTTCTTCTAAATCTTGTATTTTATCGAGTCCCCTCAATTTAAGTTCTTCGGCCCTTTCCCTAGCAGCAAAATCAAGTTCATCCGCTTTATTCTCTATTTTGCTTTTAACAAGATTAGTATCTTCCGCTAATTGTTGAAGAGTATCTTTAGTAGACGATTTAGCATTTTCAATTTCTAATTTAATATTTGATTGCAATTGTGCTTTCTTTTCATTAGCATCATCATTTAATTTGTTTAATTGATCATTAAGTGCATTTTCTGATTCCTTTACTTTATCTTCAATAGTCGACTTTAAATCATTACTTTTATCTCTGAGGTCTTTCGTAACGGCTTCAGTTCTGACAATCAAGTCCTCAGTCACCTCTTTAGACTTTTGTTTAATATCGTCCTTCTCCTTTTCGAGCTTATCCAAACAATCTATCTCAAGTTTTTCATTTGCCGTAAAATTTATTTGTTCGACCCTATCAATCAAATTAGAAGTTTCATCGTGTCGGTGTTTTAATCCTTTATACTTTCCTTCGCAGCACCCTGTGTAAAATTGGAACGGATCAGATTTCTGAATTCTTAGGGGAGTATCTACTGGTTGCATATTTTCATACTGCTGATACACTTCCTCTGTTACAGCGTGAAGACCAGCTGGTCGTTCGCTTTCTTCATCTACAATTAACTTTGTGGAATATACTTGACTTTCTAAATCGTCATCTTCGTTTCTGTGTGGTTTTGTCTTTAGGTCTTTGAACATATCGTCAACCTTTTCAAGCAAATCTTCTTTTATTATTCTAGGCGCTGGTTTTGGTGGAGTTTTTTCTTTTGATTCTCGTGGCTTGGGTTCAGGTGTAGGTGAAGATTCCTTGACATCCTCTTCTTTATCTTCACTGTGACTGAATACATTTTTGACCTTGTCGGCTATACCGCCAAAGAAGGAACCGCCTTCTGTTTTCTTTTTGCCTTTTTCTAATGTGTTCATCGGCGTTTTGTCTTCGTCCGAATCGAATGTGGCTTTTGTTTTGTTCGAGTCAACGTGCAACGTACCTCCATTAGCTAAAACAGATATCCAAACATTATTTGAAACTCATTACATATTACGTATGCGAGGTTTTTTGGATATTATCTTCCATACCTTGTGGTTTTGTACTTTTGTCTTCTGTATCCTTTGAAGGATATTTAACATCACCATTTGTAATAATTTTATCCTGAGGAGAATATAGAGTATAAATATTTAGAAAAAGGTTCAATATGACATGTAATCAAAAATTAAAGTTAAAGAAAACAGACTCACATGTCCATTGACTTGATGATCATGATAAGATAATGAGTTAGGTCCCAAGCTATGGTTATGGTCACCCCAATGGAAACTCAATTCGTCTTTTAGGGCATCAAAGCCTGTAGAAAAAGATTTATAGGTTATTATTAAATTTGACTAAGGCCCTTTTGTTAAATCTTTTAACGAATAAAGTTATTTAAGATTTATAATTTAAATCGGTCATTTAACTGTCGGGAAATTGGTTGTATATTTTTCAATTTAGATTTATCCCACAAACGCAACCTCAACTTCTAGAATGTAGAACTAAAATATTGCATAAAGAAATGTTAGAGGAGGACAAATTATTTCTATTTTCTGTGAGACATGAACGTCATTATTATTACCAATGGATTTTTAGTTTTTTTTAAGCTCGTTTTATTTTGTTTGTAGTTCAATATATAATCGCAATAGAATAGAGAAAAGAGAGCTATGGCGAATATTAATACTGCTGACATATAATTGGTACCTACACATAATAACGTAGTACTGTAAACAATTGAAAACTTACGTTGTTTTTGGTACTCGATTTTATATTTTACCAAAGGAAGTAAATAGTAGAGATTTCTTTTAAAACTCTGACTATTATACATATATCGATCACTCTACTATATTAGAATATATTCCTTATAATTTATTAAAATATGATGACATCAATTCTATCAAATATATCCGTAACAATAACACAAACGCAACATCACGGAATATTTTAAAACAGTAAAATGTTTCGTTTAACGTCATCTGTCATCTAATGAAACTATCTGTCGAATAACTGGTAATCGGTTCATCTAAGGTAGAGATAGATTCATTCTTCAGGTATCAGACGATTGAAAAAATTAATTGTTTGCTAACTTTAGAAAATATCGGTATGTTTTTTTTTGAAAATTGTCTTTTAGTACGGAAAACCAAATAAGTTTAGACACTGTTAAGTAATAATAAGTAATAAATATTATAATAATAATACAAACAATCATAATTCCACTGCCGATAAATTGTCATAAAGTACGACTCTGAGCACCCTGCATTTGCAACTTTCAAATTATATAATGTACAGTAAATTTTTTAACGATTGTATCAACTGATTTATTTAAGTCGTAAACTCATATTTAAAAGTGAAAAGTAAAGTTACACCCTATACGTCCCACTACTGGCCACAGGCCTCCTCTCACTTCTGAGAGGGTTTTAGGGCCAAAAACCCCAATGCGTGTGTGTGACTTCACACGTCTTTGAAATATTTTTATGTTTTATTTTATTTCTTAGACATGTAGGTTCCTAACAGTGTTTTCCTTCATCGCCGAGCACGTGGTAACTTCAGCAGTTAAAATTGCACAATTTCATTGGTGGGATCAAAACCTACCCCACGGCTCTTCAACTCATATTCAACTCACATTTATAAAGAAATAATCAATTGAACTCACCAGACTGATCCAAATTCAGGTAATCAATCTGACTCTTAGCAGCTCTCGGTGCAATACTCTCCGGTAATTCCACATCCAGCACGCAGGCCGGGGTTTGTGACTGTTCGCCTTTGGCAACCTGCCATTTTTACAGAGTAATTTAAAAACAGATCCAGTCGAAAACAGTTCATAAGTCGACAACACTATAAATCGTTGTAAGTGGAAATAAAAAAAGAACAATTCGTATTACTTTTGTAAATTTTAATGGCACAGCGTCAGCATAAGAGAATCAATCACCCCATAATATCATCCCATGGGTTTCGTAAGAGTCGCCAGGAATGCCATAGAGATCTCATGACTTTCGACAGATGGTGATACAATCATCCAGTGCATGTCAGACGTCTATATACATATCTCAGTGACTGGTCTGGTATTTCGATCGTTAGCCACTAGCAAAACATGCAATGTTTATATGGCAAATTTATATAACCGTAGCAATTAACAGCAGTCGATTTTAACAAGCTAATTAAGGAAAATAAAATAATATAAGCCCACCTAATTAGTATTTTCGTTCTTTTCTTAATTTAATATATCATATTCATTCTTTTCTTATATTAAAATATTATACGTGGCAGAGTCACGCTGCAGCTGTGTTATGGTTGTAGTACGAATGGGTCGGCCCGACCGGAGCCCGGGACCGGACCACGCTCTGACAGAATACCAGCGTAAGATAGCAGCCTAATACTGCTGTTTCGTATGGTGAGTGTAGAGATCCGGCGACCCTTTTTTACTGGAAACGAGGCATTCCATCTTAGTCTTCAGGGGTGACAACGCATCTGCGTTTTGATTCCTAATCGAGGATAAATGTAGATGTCTGTGGGCCAGAGCATCCACTTACCATCAGGTGGACTGTGTGCTCGTTTGTCACCCATATTCTTGAAAAAAATTACCCCACTGGAGTCGTTTATATATCAGGAAGATGTTGCTGCTCATCTCTTGTTACATTTCCCCTAGTGCGCTTTAACGATACCCGCGTGATAATGTAAGGTAGTTAATTCGCTTACGCCGGCACGCAATTGTACTAAATTACATTCATATTAGCATTTAGTGGAAGGCATTTGACACAGACCTTGGGTTCATTCATGAAGTACACTCGACCTGATGGTTTTTCTTCGTGATGCTTCACTCGTACTGTGAATTCTACTCGGTTGTCTTTGAAAGCCTGTAATAATTAAATAAATTGGATTATTTAAAATATTACCAAACCTCAATTATTTTCTCCTTAAAGGATTTGTTAGTACGCCTTTAGATTAAAAAAGAATCAGCTACATTATAATATAATAGTTAACGTATTATACACTAAACAAAGTTGAAATATTACTGACGTAAGTTTAAACAATCAATGAAAATTCTTTTGATAAATTTTTGTCATATTGTGTTCGAGTAGTTCTTTTCTATTTCTAATGTGTTTTTGTAGATTTAAACATATTTACTACATTTATTTTGACATCTAAAAGATGATAAATCTACCAACAGCACAGCGGAGTCGCGTGTAGTAGTAAATAAGACGATCTCTATTTTTCATTGGTTTGTTCTTATTTGTTGTCGACTAAATACAGATCACGTTAATGTTATCCAGAATATAGTTTTTATAAAGATAGATATATACATTTTGTTTATTATATACACACACACACACATATATTATATATATATATATATATATATATATATATATATATATATATATATATATATATATATATATATATATATTAGTTTAGTGTAAACACCGTTATCCTTGAAACCAGTGGTTTGGTTTCACTTATAGAACGTAAATTCAATGAAAAATAACAACACTTTTTTTAAATCTCATTTTTCTTATTTTTTTGCAGGATGAAAGTATGAAGGAAAAGTAAAGTATGTGTACCTATTGTGTTTTTATTGGAATGTTGCGTAGGTAGCTAGGGCGGGCGGCGATCTTTACAGTGATTAAGTCATTCGGGCGCATAGGGTATCCATGCATTTACGGACGGTGTCGGACAGAAACTTTTTAAATTTTATGAAAGAAAATAGCGTTTTTTTTTTAAATTCGGATAAATGTTTTTAATATTAAAGCCAACTACCTATGGTCTTAGTGACAACTGTGCTATTCAAACACACCTAAAAATATCATCAAATTCAGTCGGGCTTTTTTTTGGGTCTTAGCGAGACCAACGGACAGCAATTGATTTTTATTTATAGAGATAAAGTTTAGTTGTTATTTTGAATTTTAAATATGTAATAATTTCAAGTGAGTATCTATACCTTAATATCAATTATATTAGAAGATAATTAGTAATAACGCTTTAAATAAATAAAATACCTCAAAAGTTAACATGGGTTGACTTCCGGACTTTGTGACGGGCACTAGGTTGCCTGAGAACTCCAGATAGACATCCTTTCCATCCAAAAACCGCACCGCTGTTGAATGCGCGATCTCTGTGTAGTGTTCCTGATGGAGGAAATATAAAATTATATGATCTAACATAACATATAGAACCATCTCGCTTATCATTTAATTTCTAAATCTTCTTCTCTGTTTAGTTAGTTAGGCTAAGCTTGACAATGAACTCGTACCTTGATTTCTAGGATTTTTGGGGGAAGCCTATCTCCAGCTGCGGATTTATGAATGGCTGTAATGATGACGATGGTGATGATGATACATGAGACGACACACCACCACTTATCGGGTGCATTGAGATCTTTCTTTTCGTTTTCATAGTCATATTGAGACTACTATCGAAGACCAGTTTTCATTAAAATGTTAAAACAATAAAGATTTTTAATGCAGTTTTTTTGCTTTTTACCTTTTCTTCACTTCTATTAAGTTAAATGTATATTTATTTTTAGTATAAATACCGTAAAACAGTAGAAAATAAATTTTAAGTATAACTATGATATTTGACAGATTTACTTATAATGTAAGTAAAACTTGAATACTCGTTTTACACAGCAGTCGAAAATCGGTTTGCGATTTTATACAGGGTTATTTTGCAACATACGGCAAAATTTACAGAGTAGGTTCAGAATAAGTAATATAAGCGAATGGTGAAGAAAAATTAATTAAAAAAATCTCAAACATTATATCCTTGTTATCTTTTAAATTCATAATGCGTAGTAATACATTATTTTAACTGATTGTAATACATAAACATCTAACGTCATTCATAAATTTTACTACCCACGCACACTCGTAAGGGTCGCTCGGTAGGCAAAAACGTTGCGAATTGAATCGCAACCAGAGGAGCGTGCGTACGCGTAATTGATGCTTATAAATCACATTCAATTTGGGATAATTTCAAATAAAAATAGAGACCTTATTTAATCGTATTTTCAAAAACTGCAATCGGTACATCATTATTTATATATTTGAACTTAAATATAAAATTTGGCTACTCTTTGAAAAGTAAACCTGTATAGTTGCCGGCACGAAAGGTGAGCACAGATGAACTATGGTGGGGGTTGAGCCAGCGTATTTACACTGTCGGCCAAAATTATTAGGTACTGTTGTTATTTCAATTCATAATTGAATATTTTCGCTGACTTTTTTTCGAAATTCTGAGTCGTTAACTCCTTTAACTATACGAAGTACAGTAGCTACGTAGACATTAGTTGCATTAGCAGTCTGTTTATAAACGTCTATCATGTTTTTCGCAATACCTAATTACCTATTTTATGTAACAAAACATTGAATACACCATTTGTCTGGATTGTCTATTTAACACCGAATTCTTTCCTCTATGCATATTTAGCCCAAAATCCGAATGCTCAAATTATAACAAAAAAAACAACAAGAAATATCAAAAACAAGAAATACACAAACAACATCCGAGGTAACACATTAAAAAAATTAATTAAAAAGTTGTTAAAATTGCTCTCCAGTGTACGGTAGTTAAATGATACGTGCGAACCCAATAGACAACGAGAATCGGCTGACGAACCAATCACGTTGAGCGTCAGCGTGGTTAACGTCATATCGACCAATAAAAAGTGTGCTCACGACTCGTGGCGGCAATTATACCTATATCTACCATACGAAAAAAAAACCCTTTATATTTAGTGTAAAAACCGTATGAAAACGTACTTGTTGTATAAGCGTGTCGTACGCGTATCTGTCTGTAATATAGAGCACCAGCAACCTTCCCTCCAGAGCGTCCAGCCTCTTGCCCAGTATCACAATACGTACTTCGAACGGCACGAGCAACATTTCTCTGAAACAAGAACGGTAAGGTTAAATATTTCTTTTACGTGGTAGAGCCATGCTGCAGTATTTTAGAAGTATAGTTGTAGCACAAATGGGTCGGCTCGACCGGGGTAGAACCACGCTTTCACAGAATACACGCCTAAAATAGTAGCTTAATGCTGCTGTATTTCGTATGGTGAGCGTAGAGAACCGGCGACCCTTTTTACTGGAAACGAGGCATTACATCTTAGACCTCACGGGTGACAACGCATCAGCATTTTGATTTGTAATCCAGGATAGATGTGGTCTGTGAGCCACAGCAACCACTTACCATCAGGTGGACTGTGTGCTCGTTTGTCACCCTATCCTATAAAAAAATATTTATATTTTGATACCTTTTGACCAACTAATAAAAAGTAAAACTTTAATTGCGCAAGAGATAGTATACTATAAGAATAGCGCATAAACAAACACACTCGTGCTACACTATTCGTGCCTGATGTATTACGCAAATGATAACATCGATGGCAGGCAAAAGAACAGTGTCATAGGATCATAGATACTAGGACAACCACAAAAACCTTCTTTTTATTATTTTATAATTTAATTTGTCTATATGATCCGCGACATGGCATCATTAAAAAGAAACACATGTAAACATACTACTTCCACAGACATCTTCTAAAAAGATATTGGAGCAAAATATAATTTACGTGAATCAATATATTTATAAGTAGAAAACTAAATAATACCTGTACAACTCGGTCGCTAGTTTGGTGGCGTCGCTAACGTTCTGACAATTCATCAACCAGAATCTGCAATGGACAGAATATTTGTTAATAAAAATACAAAATATATTTAAAGAGTAACTTGTATATGTATGTGGTAGAGATACGACGTAACTGTAAACGGCTAGTCTTAAAACGGTTAAGAGTCCGCATAGAGAAAAATAAATTAAAAATTAAGATTTTTTTTTCCAGGCCTAAAAATAGGATAATGGAATTTAGATTTCTGCTTAAAGAGCTTCTTTATAAGTAGCGCACTTTGAAGCTGTGTTGTGGTGTAGTAAGTAAGTAAGTAAATGTAAGTGTAGTAATGGGTCGATTCAATAGCAGATATGACTACACTCAAGAAGAATTCTAGCTTAAAACACGTTATTGCTGTTAGACGTGGCGTGCTAAGGGGAGACTTGGCGACCTTTTACTGGTGACAAGGCATTCCATCGTAGACCTTAGATGTTGTAAATGGGTCGCAGCAAGTAGACAGTGTGCTGACTCTTATGCCACATTTACTTTGACTTAAAGTGATAGAGACTGCACCAGACTAAACGTCGTTTTAAAACTGAACCCCACTGCTGACTACAGGCCTTCTCTTATTTTAGATTTGGACATTTTTTGGATGTGGCAATCTTTGGGATAAAATATAATTGGGGTAAAAATAAACAACTTATCAATCATAAATAATAATATATTAAGCAAAATTAACTTTCTGTGTTAGAAGAACTTAAAATTACACAAGATTATTTTTTTGATACTTAAAGGGTAATAAAATTGCGCTTGACCACTAAGTCTACTAGACTTTATTTATTTATGATCAATTGAGTGTGTCAATTGAGGTATTTTTGTAGTGAACGTTTGGCTGTACCTTGCTGAGACTGTGGTGGTGAAAGAAGCACAGTCCTCAGTGAGAGTGAGCGGGGTCGAACCCGTGACGTCTTCCCACACGGCCCGCGCCTGTCCTCCCATGATAGAGCACAGCAGCCGGAGGTTTGCTGTGGACTGCTTGTCGTGCACTGCACCCTGTGGACCATGTTTCATTTTAGATTATTTTTAAAAATATATTTAAAACTAGCTGGTAACTTTAAGATTTATGAAATGAAGAATTTAATTTTTATTTAAAAAAATCTTCAAGTTTTCTGACAAAATATAGTCTAAATCCTTCCTGGCATTGATTTTTACCTGTTTGTAAAGTTTCATTACAACCGATTCAGCTACTTGGAAAACTATAGTTCGTGCCAAATTGATTGAGAAAAACGGACATTGACCTTTCGGTTGTTTAACCAGTGGCTACAAACCTTCAATATACAGATATAGGCACTTTTTATATGTAGTACTTTCTTTATTTATAATGATTTTTAATAATGATTGATATGATATAAATTTATTAACTATTATTAAAAAGTTATGTAAAAGATCGCTGTAGAAGAAAAATCATCTATTGTTATAAAGTACTTTACTCATTTAACAACAAAAAGCATTAATTTATAACACATATAAAGATTCGAGTGATAACGACACCGAATAAGTACGTACTTATTCAAAAGATAAAACTTTATTTTCAATATTATATGAGAACTTTAAATTTATTCTGCAGCGGGCCAACCCAAAAAAGGTGCAGCATTTCTGGCTGCAATTGTCACGTTTCTTTTAGAACTAACTGACGTTTCGTTGCGCGTTTTGTTTATTTTAAAGGGATGAATTTGCAAATGCTCAATATGGTTATTATATTGCTTTAAATAATTTTTTTTAAAATATGAAACTGTTCTTAAATAAATTGCTGCGTTACTTACCATAAATTGAAATATAAAATATAACACATTTTTCGCGAGGTACCGTAAGATTTTACAATGTTTATAGGAACCACAGACAATATTATTTAAAAAACAAAAAAAATAAAACATATGTGCTGAGCTAGAAGTGTGAATAATATCAATATTTAAATATTCATCACATCTAAATTGAGACTTTGTAAGTTACGCCTTTTGACACTCGGCTCATATTTGAGTCATCGTCCGTTTTTCTCAATCGATTTGGCACGAACTATAGTCCGAACAGACAAACAAATAAAAAAATGATTACTTATGACTTAATAGTATGCAGAAAAACCTGAGCTGAAGAGGTGTATTACAAAAAAACGCGAAATTACAAGGTTTCCTCCTTGAAATTATGTTTTTCGTTCGTTGCTTGAAATAACAATTACTTGGTAAAACTAGTTCGTTTTCACTACTACAATAAGGTCAGAGCAAATTTTTGATAACTTATCTGGGGGCACGCGCAGTGCCCCGGTTAAGTCGATCAAAAAAGCGGCACGGCCGTACCATGATTTTCTCGAAGCAGTTCAGACCATTTTCGAACCCCTATAACTTCGTTGTCGATAAAACTAGAAGCCTGAATTTTCAGTAACCGAGTAGGCATTGTATAAACGTGGTATATTTCAAATCACATTCAATTTGAACGAGTAGTTTAAGAATTATAACTAGTCAAAGTTTCTTAATTTTGTCACTAACTGACTGACTGACCGATCATCAAAACTCTAAGATACTTCTAGCAGACATAAAAGCTTCAAATTTAGAACACACAATTAGTGTTTAGTATATATATCAAGGAAAAACTAAAGTATTTTTTTAATTTCAGTCCAGTTTTCTAGATACACCAACTGCATAAATAACTTTGTAAACCCATATAAATATATAGAATTACAAAGTTATATATGCATCGAATGCATCAGTGTAGTTGTATATGTATAATAGTAGGTATAGATAGCTAAGTTGTTAGTATTCAAGAAGTAGAAGGTACCGGAAAGGAAAAAAGTAGGACTATCTACAAAAAGAAATGAGATGCCATCAAAAACATAACTTGTAAAAAATAGTCCTGCAACTCGGTTCTTCTACCGTAAAAAATTATGAGATCCATGTAATACCAAGTCGGTTAATTTATTCAGTTCTCTACTTAAGGGTCCGTCTGTTTTAAGTTATTACGTAATTAGCTAACCTAACAACATCTTAGAGTGACCACCGTTAGTAGATATACGATTATTACCAACATCGGTTAACAATCGATTAATGTGAATCAATTAAAATATTTATGTGTACTTATTTCAACACTAAGGTTCATAAAAATGAAAAATATATCAAATAGATTGTAATAAATTAATTAGATAACATAAAAATGAAACACCAAAAATTTTCCATCCACTGAACTCCATTCTAAGAAAATTTGTACAATGGAAGATCAAGATCATTTAGTCGCTATACTCACAGTATCATAGTGCGAGCGAGTGAATAGAGATATGAAATAAAGTGTTGCTCGCGTAGGTCGTCACCCGCCCGGAGCGTAAAGTACGTAAATTTGCGTAATGGCAAAATGTAAGAGGACTCTTAATAGAAACCAGTAATTTCATTCAATATTACGGAGTGACACTTCAATTTTATACATATTTTAATGAAATAATTAAATTAAGGTGTACTGACGGAGCCTAACGTATGGAGGTAGTAATAAATCTGCCTAGTAGTCCATATGGGTTGGTATCAATATCTGTTTACCAATACAAACGCCAGCAACAGTGTATGCACTTTCAAATTATAAGCCAATTTTTGTATGAATTTCTCTACGTATTGTTTCAAATTTGGAAGACCTATGGAACGTGGGGGCCAACAGTAAAACAACGTATGTTTTACGAACGCACCAGTTGGCCCCTGGGCAGTGGTTTATTTTAAATTTAGAAAGCTAACGGAATGCGTCTCGAGTACATCTTTGTTTATGGTATATTAAGTGCAGTTTTAAATTTGGAACGCGTAAAAAGTTCAGTATTTTAAGGGAATTCGAATAGAAAGCGAAAATTATTCCGTGCGGTGTAACCCGCTTCCTACGAGGAGAGGTCAAAAAGTTCGTGGAATGGCGGGGTTGGAGAGGGTGAGGTTACTTATCCAGGTAGGTGCTAGTTGAGTGACTCATTGTTAGTATATATACCATGTTTCAGCCTAATCGGGTCGTAAGTTTTTGAGTTATCAACGAGTAAACGAGTCAATCGGAAAGAAACTAACTACTATGGAGAAATTAAATATTGTGTCGTCATTAAATTTCTCACCAAACAAGTAAAGACACCTGAAACCATTTTTTAAGAGATGTCAGCTGTTTATTGGGACTCCGCTTCTGTAAAAACTTCAAACAAGTGAGGAGCTCCATTGGAGACGAAGCCCGATCTCGAAGGCCGATTGAGGCTACCACGCCAGAAATAATCAAAAAAGTTGAAAAACTTGTATCGGAAGATACCCGGTTAAAGGAAAAACAGCTTGCAGCATTAGTTACGAGTATCAGAAACAACCATTTTAAACATCCTACATCAACACCTTGGCATGACTAAAGTCTGTGAAAGATGGGTTCCGAGAATGCTTTCTGCGCATCAAAAACTCGAGGGCGCAAAAGTTTTTAGACCGCTGAGAGCAAAGGGAGGAAGTGTTGGCCCGAATTGAAACTGACAATTAAATTTGGATTCACCATTATGAACCTGAGTCAAAGCAAGAATCGATGCAGTGGCATAAAAAAAGGCACACCTCATCCTAAGAAGTATAAGGTGTCTCAATCGGCCGATAAGATCTATGTCGATATATATCACAGATCAATTAAAATTAGCTATTAAAGAAAAACGGCGAGGAAAGCTTACATAAGGTGTGCCCCTTTTGCACGACAATGCGCCCGTACACACAAGATATGTTGCCACGGCTGCCATTCACCGGAGCGGTTTTGAACAACTACGCCACCAGCCCAGACCTAGCCCCAAGCAACTATTATTTGTTTCTTAAATGTAGAAAGAACTGCGTGAGAAAAATTTGGCCACCGTAATAAAGTGAAGTCGGCAATTCCGGCCTATTTTGACGTCCAAGACAGATTTTTTTGACGGTACTAATAAGTTATTTGACAGATGTGATAAATTCATTAGGGTTAAGGGAGAATACATTGAAAAGGCAAAATAGTTTAATGTTTCATTTCATTATTCTTCCCTGTCCTTCCGCGAACTTTTTGACTTCTCGAATATTATAGACGGAGTTTTGGCGAGAACTTGACCGCCTGTAAGACTGTAGTTTCTGTGTTATCGTTAACGTAATGATAAGTGGATGTTGATACGTAAGATTTTTTAAACTAAATATTATATAGGATAATTTCTTTTATTTGATATTGGCAAAAACATAACAACATGGGATGTGTTATGGAAGAAATATAAAAACGCGCATATTGAATCACGTTGAAACCCGCAAGAAGGAAACGAGTAACGTGCATGCGTACGTGTGTGCGTGCATGCGTGCGTGCGTGCGTGCGTGCGTGCGTGTGCGTGCGTGCGTGCGTGTGCGTGTGTGGTGGTGGTGTGTGTGTGTGTGTGTGTGTGTGTGTGTGTGTGTGTGTGTGTGTGTGTGTGTGTGTGTGTGTGTGTGTGCACCTGTTGCTGAGCGGGCAGCGGCACGGTAAGCGTGATGGCGCGGTGGAACTTGCGGCGGCGCGGCTCCACGGTGAGCACGGGCGAGGCGGCGGCGTGGCGCGGCAGCACGCGGCGCACCAGCTCGGGCGCCGCGCCGTGCGCCTGCAGCCCCACGCGGATGCGCTTCGTCAGCGCCTGCGCCGGGAACAGCGCCTGCACCTAAACACACAAACATTTCTTTCAGCTTATAGGTAATAATTTTCAGAAGTATGAAAAAAATATCTTTAAAAAGTGTAGTACTAAAACAAAACAAAACTCGGAGTATCTCTGTGTCGTACACACGGCTGTGAGTTTTGCGTTAATACGTGTAAATAGCGAGACGAGATTGGCAGCACTCCCCCCTTCAATGCGCGCGCCTTGCGTCACAGGCCTCACTGATACTTTAGCTATCGAGTGACGTAATTAAATTTTGGGTGTAGATAATAAAAACGTAGCTGCAACCACATGAGTAGATAAAAAGAACGGAGATAAATTTGGTTGCACTACTACAAGCACGCGAGACATACGTGCGTGACCACTGGCCGCTTGTCCGATTACGCTGGCACAACCAGTGGACATACTTAGGGTCAGTGCAACTCACGTTGTTTGTTTTGTTAATTGCAAGTTTGAATATTTTAATGCAAAAACGTGGTGTTATTACTTCCATTCCATTTATAATATTACCTACACGAAATGACTGACTACGCGCTGTACCTATAGTAAGAAAGATATTTTTAACTGGTTGTGCTAAGAACAAAAACACAAAGTTGGTATAATGCCACTGCATAATAAAATAAAGTGGCATTATATTTTGTATTTTGTAAATCATCATTTCCAAAGTAGAATATTAATATTAGACGGTCAGATATGCACCGTCTTAAGACTTTGTTTTAATACAGTTATTCATTAATATATAAAGTCTACTATTTTACTACGCACGCACTGTTTCGTAAGGGTCGCTCGGTCGGCTTATCGCACTTCCAATCCGACTTAACCGTTACACCACTATGTACCCACAACCGCCCGGCCGGTGTTGATCGTGACTTCGTTACATACGAATGTGCTATGTTTGAACTTCTACTTGGTCACTTGTCACATCGTTAAATGTACGGTACTATGAAATGGTACGGTGTTACAATGTTAAGTTTACGTGGTCGAGGTGCGCAAAGATTATGAGTAAGTGTGTCTTTACTCTTTACTTGTTTTTGAGAAATTAACGCACGTGTACCTACCAACCGAAGAAAAATTGACAGCTAACCAAACGATTCAAGAGCAGTGTGCGATTATTTAAATAGTGAATATGAAGATAGGTGCACATGCTTAGCCCCTATGCTATGGCCTGAAAATTTACCGGACTATTCACTGTTAGACTTTTATCTGTTGGATGAAATAAAGAGATGTAAAGAGGCCGAAATATATCAAGATCATCGCAGGAAAATTATTGCTGCATTCTCTAAAGTTAAAAGAACTCAAGCACAATTAATAAGTGTAAAAAATAATTTAAAATACATGCTCGTCAGCATGGCATAGAGAGAAACGGATTCCATTTTGAGGTACCAATAAATTAGTTATTGGGACTTTTTGCGTTATTTAGCTGTAAATAGTTTATTCTAATTTTATAAATACGCCTTAACAATGACATTCATCGGTTACGTTGTTGATATGCAAAGAATATTTTTTTAATTTGGTATATTGCTAAGCCCGTTAAAAATATGGAGGGGAAAATTGGAATCATGATTCGCGTCATGTAGTTATCACTAAGTATTAGCCCCTAGTGAGCGTGTCATTACGAAAGTAAATAGTAGGCAAAACTTTGTGTGGTATGCTGTTGTCGTTGCATGTAAATCACATTGAATTTGGGATAATTTAAAATTATCCACCTCCTGGCGCACGCGCGACACCCCGGCGAGGTGGTGCGGGAAGTCGCACGTCACTATACGCCTCACGGGACGTTACCTGCGTTATGTGTGCGCTGGAGACGGTGCCGCCCTCGGGTCCGATCACGTGCACCTCCTGGCGCACGCGCGACACCACGGCCAGGTAGTGCGGGAAGTCGCACGTCACTATGCGCGTCACGGGACGTTACCTGCGGGATGTGTGCGCTGGAGACGGTGCCGCCCTCGGGTCCGATCACGTGCACCTCCTGGCGCACCCGCGACACCACGGCCAGGTAGTGCGGGAAGTCGCACGTCACTATGCGCGTCACGCGCTCGCCGTTCTCGCCTAGCGTCTCGCCGCTGGGCCCGTATTCTTGTCGCTCGCGTGTCAGTGCCTCCTGAAAAGGTCAACGCTATTAACATATTTGATGGTAAGTAATCAGTCTTAATCGCGAAACAGTATGGACTAGACATAATGTCTTGAGTCTAGTCCATATTATGCTTAACAAATTTCAACACCGTGAAGTTTTTTTTTAAACATGGAATAAGTGTGACAACGAACACACAGTTCACCTGATGATAAGTGGATGCAGTGGCCTATAGACATCTACATTTATTCTCTATTAAGAAAGTGCAGATGCATTGTTACGCCTATGAACTAAGATAGAATACCTCGTTTCCAGTAAAAAGGATCACCTGTTCTCTACACTCACCATATGAAACAATAGCATTTAGCAGCTATTTTACGCTGTTACTCTGCGAGAGCGTCACCTTCCCCGTTCGAGCCGACCCATTCGTGCTTTAGCTATAATATAGCTACAGCATGGCTCTATCACGTGTGGCTGTGGTAGGAAAAGGGGAGATCTCACGGCGACGGCAAGGTGTTCTGCCCGGGGAGCGGCTCACACTCCGTGTGATGGTTCGGAGATGTTCTATATATGCTGTTTATGATTCGGAATGTTGATAGCGCGATTTAGGCTTCGGTGTGTTTTCGCTTGTGGCGGCGACTACAGCGCCGCTACATCACCCACCTGCTCAGACCGGAGGTCGATAGTGCAGCCTCGTTGCCGACGAATGTGCAAGTGCCAGGAAGTCGAGAAGAAGGCAAGTGATCTGCGAGAGTGCCGTGAAGCAGAGGCGAGCAGTAAGGCTCAGAGCCGTGCCGAACACTGTATGGCGCAGAGAGTAGCTTGAAGGAACAGGAAGCATTATTATTCCAGTGTTGCGATGAACCTTGTGAAGCTAGATGGCTTGCAGGATATGAAGACTGCAGAAGACGATAACTGCTCGGGAGCGAATGGGTGGGGTTATTCTATGACGATGATGAAGCTTGAAGTTTCCGAAGGTTGTTGGTTGCGTGTTCAGATCACGTCGGGGTCACCACTGTGGCCGTGGTAGGAAAAGGGGAGATCTCCCGCCGGGCAAGGTGTTCTGCCCGGGGAGCGGCTCACACTCCGTGTGATAGTCCGGAGATGTTCTATATATGCTGTTTATGATTCGGAATGTTGATAGCGCGATTTAGGCTTCGGTGTGTTTTCGCTTGTGGCGGCGACGACAGCGCCGCTACACACGTATAACATAAAGTTTGATTTCAAACTCGAGATTGTCTTTTGAAACCAGCTTTAGTTGAGCTGTCCTACTGTGCCTTCAGTATGGTGAGTAACGGGAACCGGATACCCTTTTCTCTTCTTCGTTTATCAAGCAGTCCTTTACAGACGACTACGATATGCATTCTACTTCTTAACCGAAAATAAATGTAGATGTATATTGGTACCAGTATTTACATTACATCCTGATGACTATAAAAGAAGAAATTAAATTCATAAATATGAAGGACAAATACCTACTTAAAAATACAATAACAACGAAATTCTTGGGTATAGAAATTGACCAAAAACTAGATTGGAAACAACAAGTCGAAAAAGTGTGCAATAAAATCAATCGTTTCGCGTTTGCAATTTATAAATTAACAAAAATAGCAGGTAAGAGAACAGCCCTTACTGCGTACTTTGCTTACGTTGAATCAGTCCTGCGATACGGACTCATTATATGGGGTAATAGCACAGATATAAAAAAGGCGTTCATTGCACAAAAAAAGTGTGTTAGAGCTATATGTGGTACCGTACCTAACGAGCCATGTCAGCCCTTGTTTAAATCCTTGAAAATTTTAACACTTCCTTGTCTATATATTTTTGAAACGGCGAAATTTGTAAAAAATAATATGTATTATTTCACACAAGCCAAAGACTTTTACAAACGAGGCACTAGAAATAGGAATAAGATACCACAAGAAATACAAGACCTACTTGTCATTAAATTTAAAAGAGAGTTATACAGATGGCTCAGTGAAAAGGCTTTTTATACTATAGAGGAATATTTGAACTGCGATATGTGGTAGCGGCTGGACTGATATGGATTTGCTGGACCAATTGTAAAATATTTATTAAGTACCTATTACCTATTTATTGATTAATTGTTGACATTTTATTATTTTAGACATTTTACTCATAAATATTACTATCGCATTATTATATATACGTAAGATTTGCATGCCATAAATAATGGCTGATTAAGCGGATGTTTAATTAATACCACCATCTTCAGTGTACCTTAACCAAAAGCAAATAAATATTTCATTTCATTTCATATAAACATGGTTCGATCGTTCCTGTTTCCATATATAATAGTAAAATGTTGACAGGCTAGTATCGATATTGCTTCAGTTCAAAAGCAATTAAACTTTAAATTAACGATTATTGCATTGTCTATTAAACAGATATGCAAAATAATTTTATACATCAAGTACATCTGGAGCTAAATTATAGGTTAATAGTTTCAGATTTCTATTCTAACGAGTGCTGCTGTGTAAACGAATCATTTCACCTTGTTATTATGCATTGAACGGAAATAGAAATGACCTTACAGCGTACCCAACGTGGGCTAGCGACCGCATTCGTACACAAACAATTATATTTCGCGTGGAATACAAAAACAAATGAAATGATAGCTAATTTTAGACTTCCTTTACTGTGACTTTCAAGCAACGAAATATACAGATTATTATTTAACATCGAATATCGGGAAACTCAAAATATGGACCAGTCAATGAAAGAAAATATTGCAATATTAAACGGTACAAAATTAAATTTTTCACAATCTGTGTTAGTTGTAGGGGAGCCCATGAGGGGATTTTTGGATTTACTCAAGCGCGTCAGATTAATCTTAATTAATCATCAGGATAGATTGATTCGGTGGGTTCATTACGATCTAAAAAGAGCGCATTTAGAAAATCTGACGATTTGAGCGTAACGTAAGGAAGTTACAAAGTTGCAAAAAATAAACGTTATCTTGACATTATCGTGCGTGGATGATTTTTTTTTATTGGAAAGATATAATGCAACAAAAACATAATCTGCCGATTTCCACCGAAATACTAAAAATCATCTATGAATATGAGGAGAGCACAGCACAGAAGCTATACGCCTCTCTCTCTCTCTTTCACGTTTTTCCTATCTCTGAATCTCGACTCTCTCCTTCCATCCTCACCTATTTACAGTTCCAAAGAAAAAAAGTTCATAAAAAGTCATAAAAAATTATTTTTTTATGAATTATTGTTTATCAATATTATTTTTTCGAATTTTTAAAAATATGTCACGAACTTGCGTCACTTCCGAATCGTCAGTACTTTGAATGGGAGCATTTTTAGGGTTCACTTAACACCCTCTTTGAATATCTGTCGGACTGGAATTAATTTTTGAACGTCTGTATTAGTTTGTAGTATTTTTACATTTTGAAAATCTGTAAAGGCCCCGTTAAGTGTGTTATCAGAATCAGTATCCAAGCGTATAGAAATAATTTTTTTTTTTTCAAAAAAAAAACACTTAAAAAATTTATTTTAATGAAAAAAATATTAATTTGCAAATTTTATGTGGTTTTATTTCCTCTAACTTACACGAGTATCGGTAATGCGGGGTCTTTGACCATCCTCTTACTCCTCGATCAATGCAGAGATAATAATACCACATACAATTTGCAAATTATTTTTTTTTTCATTAAAATTAATTTTTTAAATGTGTTTTTTTTGAAAAAATTATTTCTATATGCTTGGATAATGATTCTGACAAAGCAATTAACGGGAACCACAGGGTTTTTATTACATGTTGTATAAATGTTTTTCTTCCTTTGAACCAATTTACAAAATCTAATATGTCCCCACGACGCTCGAATAAATCCCTATGTAGCATCATGGGCTAAATACTACAACTATTTATCCTTCCAGTTAATTACATTGCTTTTAAAATTAAACCTTATTTACTTCAAGTATTTTTATGTATTTATTAGAATATTGTTACCAGGCTTAAAAATTATTTTAGATTTTGTTTTATATAAATACGAGTATACTACATCATATTAAACAGACTCCAAGTGTTCAATATCGTTATCGTAAGTACTTAAAAATGTTCTAATCAACAAATTTCGTCCTTTATCCTTACTACTCATATATCACATGCAGAATCTCCCTACATAATAGGAAACACTGTATTCTATTTCTTTCTCTCGCAGGCTAAATCCTATAGATATATGTTTGTCTCTTTTTAGTGTAGCTTTTTCGTTTAATCGACTTTTAAATCACAAAGATTCTGCATGAAAACTTATGAACATTAAAAAAATGACTAATTTCGATTATATCTTGAAGCCGAGCCTTCATAAAAACATTCTACAAGACGCAAGATGAGTGTACAAGCTTGTTTGCGAATGTGGGTTATTACGTAGGACAAACGATAGCATCAATAAAGGCCCGACTGAAAAAACATATTATAGCTGACGTGAAGAACTAAGTCCTGTTCATGACCTATCCAGTAATTATACCAGATTTGTGAGACCACAATTCGTACCAAAGGAAAACCGATTCTTACCAAAGATGATTCAAGATCTATTACAGAATACTTTTATATAACATTTTGGTATCTGTTGATTCCATGATTAGCAAGCATACCACTGTAATACTGATTTGGTTTATATCACAACCTTTCACAAGTCTCTTAAGGTTTTTAAACATTTTAACATAATGAAAAATAAGTTAACTTACTTGTATCATGGGATTGTCGTTATTGTGTAGATAGTGATCTTGCCAGGTCTCGCCGGTGTCGGAACGCAGTATAACTATCTCCCGCTCGCGACACGACGCCGTGAATATTGGCACTTCGATTATTACAGGGCTGAAATAATACAGAGGTTACTATAAATATAAATAATCAAAAACAGGATTAAAATAAAACTAGTGTTCTCTAGTGGAATAAAAAATCATTTAGTTTATGAATATTTATTTATAATCTACGTTCATTTCGTACGCCATTTTCACGTGAATACTACAAGCTTTGCATTTTTCTAAGACAGAGATTTTTTCTAACGCCGAACAAAGATGAGAAGAGCAGTCAACGATGAACTTTGAAATAAAGTAGGTAATAACTTACGCCAAAAACTTAGCTCCCTGTGGTTGTAACTCCAAGAGTCTCGAAGCTAGGGCTTCTCCCTCCATTAGTGGCGGCGGCGCCGCGGCCGGCGCGCGTCGTGTTGCCGCTCTGGAAAATACCTTATAATTAATAACAAGTTATTAATAATATCAGGCAGAATTACATGACCGTTTTGACTCAAATTTACAAGTTTAATTAGTTAGTTACAGCCTATTAAATCCTACTGTTGGGCACTGGGTAGGATGATTGAGTCTCTTGCAATACCACTACACCTGAAAACCTCATCAAAGGCTTGATAATAACTTATTAAGCTTCCTTTGAGTTTTCTGTATGTAAATTTAATATTCAGAATAATAAAATACACACACACACGTTGTAGTTTTTAAATTTTCTTACTAACCTCTAACATGTTTTGTTATGACCAATGATACCTTTTATATGAAATTAATAAAAAAAGCTATTGCAAATGTATAAAGCTACACAATAATTCTATGTACATATCGATGTTGATAAGTTCATAAAGAGAAAGTATTTTTATGATAAGATAAAGCTTAGTCAATTTATTATTTTGACATTGAGTGTCATAAGTCAACGAACTCGCTCGTTGTTTTGTCATTGCTTTGAGATGTAAAATACAGAGGTTACTTTTTGTTATTCTTTAAAATTAATTTCTGTCGCTTGTTTGTTTACAAAACAATATAGACGATTAAAAGTTCAATTATAAAATAGTATTTAACAAAGTTACTTAATAGTATTTGTATTCTAGTATTCGCTTAAAACCTTATGACTACTAAGTAAATTTTGTTGTTGTTTAATTTTTATTTTAGGAATTTTCCTTTAGTATTTTTGAGGAAAGTTTCCAAAAATACTTGCATATTCTATTAAACTGTTGTAAATAAGTGTTGGCGTTTTATGATCAAGTCCTAAAAAGATAACACCAACTGGTAAATCGAATCATCACACCGACGCTAGGTCGAGTCTAGTTGATAATAATTATATTTAGTTATGCACGCTGGTATGTTAAAGTAGCGTTTTTATTTTTAATGTATTATGTAGTAATTTAACTTTGCCTGTAACTTTGACACAAAAAAAAAATACTTTCATTTTATTACCATTTTTATTTTTATGCCTTAATTGTTTTATTTATGTACCTTAGTTATAAAAAATACCAGAAATGCTCTTAACATAACTTATTTTCCTATTAACCACTCCAAGTATACTTAGATGCACGTATTAAGTGGTTCTCAACAGTACTCGAATGGCGGGTTCGGGAACACGACTTGTCAGTTCGCGGTCCATACTCCATACCTTTAACGAATAGGCTATCGTTTATTAAAAGTTAGGATTACTTCAAATAAACGACAGATACATTTGAAAGAATTATGATATAATATATTAAGCCTTAATGTTAGTTTTCAATTACTCGCCACGAGAGTTATTTTTCCGCATAATTTAACGGTAAATTTTTCTGGTTGTTGATTAAACGTTATCCATCGAATAAATTATAACCTGAATGAATATAAAAGACTATGAAAATCTGAACTATTTTATTTATACAACTGTAGTTTTTAATTGGTTTATGTTAATCCTACGAATAAAATTTATTTGTTCATTTTATAATCGACCCTTTTTAATGTATTAGTATTTTTCATATTCTTATTGTTTAAATTCGGTAACTGCTTGAAACAAAACAATGAAAAAAAAAGCAAATAAAAGATGTGTCACCGGTCCACGTGCGTGGTGGCAAAGTTCCAAAAACTCATTTGAACTTGGCAAATGACCCAATACAAAAATATTATATGTAATTTTATTTTTAAATATAAAATCATAGAATACCCGTACAATGTCTTCTAAGATCAGTAAACATTGATCACTGACATTCATATACATTTTTTGGATATGTTCAGCATACTTCATCCATGTTAGGGGCTGGCAGACTACAGCGTTGTAGTTTCTGCTGCATGAAAGGGCTTTAGCTAATCAAATGATTATTCTTTTCATTTTATGTCAATGTGTGCATAGTTTTTTTTTTTAGGATAGAATGACAAACGAGCACACAGTCCACCTGATGGCAAGTGGTTGCTATGGCCCATAGAAATCTACATCTATCCTCGATTACGAATCAAAATGCAGATGCGTTGTTATCCGTGAGGACTAAAATGGAATGCCTCGCTTCCAGTAAAAAGGGTCTCCGGTTCTACACACTTACCATACGAAACACAGCAGCATTAAGCTACTATTTGACGCTGGTTCTGGTTCTGTGAGAGCGTGGTCTTTCCCCGGTCGAGCTGACCCATTTGTGCTACAACTATACTACTCGTATACTACAGTTATATAACTGCAGCATGGCTCCACCACGTAAGGGGTAATTTATTATCTAATTTATTATTAATAGTGAATGAAGAAATATTGCTTATTTCTGAAGCCAAATAGCACTGCTGTGTTTTCGTTGGAAAATGAGCCGGTTTAATTATATATTTAAAAGGCATTCTACCTATGTCCTCAGAGGTGAGAACGCATTTTTGTTCTTCTTTCTTTGAAATTGGCTTAAGATGTCCATGCTCTGCGTTAGCCACTTACCATCAGGTGAAGTGTAATTTCGTTTGTCACTTCGTTAAAAGTTGGACTCCATTACCCACGCACGGCGGAATAATTATCTTGTCAATGCTTTACTAGTTGACCCTAAATTCTCAGCGGAGACATCATATCATCAAAGGTACGAAGTGTCTATTGAAGTGATCACCAATCCGATTATCAAACATGGCAACAGCGAAAATTTTTTGTCTCTATTGCCAATGTTTTTTTATAGGATAAGGGTGACAAACTAGCACATAGTCCTCCTGATGGTAAGTGGATGCTGTGGCCCATAGAAATCTACATCTCGATCGATTATGAATCGAAATGCGTCTACATTTATCCTCAATTAAGAATCAAAATGCAAATGCATTGTCACCCCCGAGGACTAAGATGGAATGCCTCGTTTCCAGCAAAAAGGGTCTTCGGTCCTCTACACTCACCATACGAAAAACAGCAGCTTTAAGCTTCTATTTTAAGCTGATAGCTGCTGTGAGAGCGTGGTCCTTCCCCGGTCGAGCCGACCTATTCACGCTACAACTGTAATATAGCTGCAGCGTGGCTCTACCACGTACGTTGTGTTCCGGTTCGAAAGGGTTAGGAAAGTCAGTATAAATAACGGCTCTCCAGAGAGGTGATGAGGCATCCGTAGCCTTCTTTATTTATTGCTACATTACACTGCCGTACACCTATTTGCCTACACCTTTCGGTGGAATATTAGCTCGTTTATGTGTTGTATTAGAAGGTTGGTATTGAAGTATTAAGATTTGTATATTATTTGAAAATAATTAAATTGATTAAAATATATTATGCTATTGAAAAATCACTCTTATTGCATATTCGATAAAGCCTAAGTTCCCTTACCGGCATGTGACACGTGTTGGCGCCGCACACGCAGCTGGCGGTACGATGATGCGGACGCCGCCACGGCGTTTCGCTTTCATAGCGCCACCGCGGGCATCCACTACGAACGACACTAAGAACCTGCAAACAATAATAAACTTTATTTATAGAAACATAAGAGACATAACATAAGTAATATAGTAACGTGCGTTTTTTTCTCGGTAAGCCGAATATAGCTAATATATAAAGCTCGCATAGAATATATTTTAAATAGGATATAAAGAATCATTAATGTTCATTAAGCTTATTTTGATATTTTTTTATTGGATAGGGTGACAAACGAGCACTCAATCCACCTGATGGTAAGTGGTTGCTGTGGCCCATAGACATCTACATTTATCCTCGATTACGAATCAAAATGCAGATGCGTTGTCACCGTGAGGACTAAGATGGAATGGTTCGTTTCCAGTAACAAAGAGTCTCTGGATCTCTACACTCACCATAGGACACACAGCAATATTATTAAGCTGCTATTTTACGCTGGTATTATGTGAAAGCGTGGTCCTTTTCCCGGTCGAGCCAACACATTCGTGCCACAACTATACTACTAATACAGCTGCAGAATGGCTCTACCATGTATAATGCTTTGGATACGTTAATATCTAGTGCATAACAAGTTAATTAATATTAAAAACAAAACCCAAGAACAATGTTCCATTATTATAAACTAAAGTAATTAAATATTGTTAGAATGCCTTTCAAGCAAGCGGCATATAGTAGCTTTACAAATGTTATGAATATTGGTAGGTATAAACTATAAAGCTGTTGAGGCTAGAGTAGGACACAAAGGAACATATCAACATACATATAGAAACATACAAAACATAACCTTCATTTAACTATAATACAATGACAAAAAATAAAGACAAGACAGAAAATAAAAAAGTTCGATACTGTAAACTCATGTTTAATGTGTGCTATAAAGATTAAGTTTGACAATTTTAGTGTCACAACCGGGAATGAAATTTAAGACGAGTTAAATCTATGCCAAACTTTGTAATTTTAGTGGTGCCCGGCACCGGTTATTGAATTGAAAGAAACCGGCTTGCATTCTATAGTATCTAGGATTGGCCCCTGAGTAAATGGCTCTACATAGAGAAATATTATTTAATAGAGTACACTGAGTGGATCAATTGAATATCCTGAGACGCTATTGTCATATATCGATAGTAGACTCGATGAATACATTAATAAAATTTTGTGACCTTCAAAGAGATAAAAACAAAATATTTGCAATGGAACAACGCTTCACACGTCCACGGTTTCCGTTACACACTATTATGTAAAAGTCTCCCCTGATTTCTGAGAGTTTTAGGGAAATGAAGTAAAAAACAAAATCTGTTGGCTCTGCAGTCCGTTCCTGGAACTTCCCTCTATATCCGATCTCAAAATACTCGACAAATATTTTTACGAATAATAGTGAACTCATTACATCAAAAACGATCCGAGCAAACATTTCAAAGTTATTAAAAAGGAAAACACTTAAAATTTTTCGGCAAGTATAAAGTTCGAACGGATCAACCGATTTTAATACAATTGGTGGGAATTAAAACGAGGTAGGTATTTTAAGAACATTAATAAAATTTCTTCTTCTTCTTCAAAAGTAATGTGCAAAAAACATTTTTTTCGAAATATTTCGTCACTGATTTCACTTCAACGATTTTAACCGACTTTGAAGCGGTTTGCAGCAATCGACGCCGTTTTCTATGTTTAAGAGCTGATTAAATTTTGGGGTTGATTATTACATCTGTTTAAAAGTAAAAAATTAAAAATAAATTTTTTTTTTTGTAATTTCTCAAAATATATAAGGTTCAAATCGGTTGAGACAGTATTGGAAACCTAAGTTTGGCGAAACCCTTTTGAACGCCAACAAGTTGGTTCAAATCGGTCAAACCGTTCAAAAGTTATTAGAGGTTTACACACACACGTACACGCACACCCACCCACACACACACACACACACACTCACACACACACACACACACATACAGACATAGCGACATCTTCGTAGGAATAGCCAGAATAGCTTCCTAAGATTTCAAAACGTTGATCTGATGATCTGATGAAACCTCGATTTTCAAAAACTGGGGTGAAAACAATAACTTCCCGAAACTAACTTTTTTTGAAAATCATTCATTTTCATAGCGGGAAGTTAAAACATTGTTTAATGAAATTAAAAAAAAAATCTATTGACAATTTTATCTGTGCCGGCGAATAAGACAAAGTCTGTGCCCAGCAGTGGGACGTATGTAGGCTGTAACTTTAACTTTTTAACTACTTCTAACATGCAAGTTTTCTCAGAAAGTTTTCCTTCACTATTGAGAGTTAAAGTTACAGCGTACATATGTCCCAAGCTTGAACGAGTGGTTAATTCGTTCAAGGTCCCCCAGGGTTGGGCTCAGATCTTTCCTTAGTATTTAAATTTCAATTAGTGTTGGCGGAAATTGAAATTATTTCCAACCAACACGTAACAGAATTAAGTGTATCCGATTTTATAAAGCACTAAATGACCGTGAGGTAAAGGCCAACTAGGAAGAGTCAAGGCCTCTGACGTAGCTCTCACGATTTTGATGATGTCATACCGCCAAAGATACTTTCAAGAGTAGTAAATATAAAGTGATTCAGATACTTTCGAAGGTGTGCCGTGTTTTTTATTGCGAATATTAGTGCTATTCTCATATATGTGTCATATTTATTACGTAATAGGATATTATCTATTACTAGCGTACCGCCCCGCCTTTGCACGGGTGATTTCTGGATCTTGTCAACAGGAACCCACTCAAATTCACACAAAAAAAAATCATCAGAGTTAGGTATAGTGGAGACTAATGGACAGCAATAGATTTTTATATATAAGAAGAAGATAAGAGATAAACCAGCATCCGCTTCACGGTAAATCAGGTAGCTGAAGATTGCAAAGCGCATTTACTTAGCTAGAGAAAAGTTTTTTTTTTTAATAGAAGAGGGGGCAAACGAGCATTCACTCTTGCTTTAAAGATAAATAGATTAAAAATTTGAAAAATATTATTCTCTTAGTCGATTCTAAAATATCAGCGTGGCGGACTTTGCTACTAATTATCTTGAAAAATTGACGAAGCTATTAGGTATTTGACTTTGAGCTTAGAGCAAAAATCCTAAAAGTAGTACTTTCAGTACAAAACTACTTTTTATTTTGTTCTATAGAGTAACGTACGTTAGAGTGACATACGAGCACACAGGCCACCTCATTGTAAGTGGATGCAGTGGCCCATTGACATCTACATCTATCCTCGATTAAGAAGGAAAATCAAGATGCGTTGTTACCCCTGAAGGCTAAGATAGAATGCTTCGTTTTAGTAAAAATAGTCTCAGATTCTTTATACTTATTATACGAAACACAGCAGCATTGAACTGGTATTTTACGCTGGTATACTGTGAGAGCGTGGTCCTTCCCCGTTCGAGCCGGCCCATTCGTGCTATAACCATAATATATTGCTGTAGCGTGGCTCTACGTAATTATGCTCTACGTAATCAGCTACACTACACTCTAATGGAAAACCAGTATGACGAGACGGTGTCTTTGTTTGACGAATGATAGTAACCAGATATTATATAGTTAATGACTACCAATGTTTTCAAGGTGATTATACTTGAACGAGAATTGATTGCCCCGATACTTTTAGTTTGTTTTGGCAAATAAACAGACGTTTTCCAAAAAATGCTCGAATCTGTCCGTTTTATTAATTCTTAATCATCAGTCATAACGTCGACCGCGTTGCTGTGTCGTTATTTAGATTTTGAGATAAAACCACATCCGAAACTTGTGCGAAACATACATTGTTTATTTTACTGTCTGGGAGTGTTTTTATTAATCGCATGCTGTTTTACTGAGACACTCAAGTCATTTCAAATATTTTAAATGAGTCGTCACCAGAAATATTTATAGAAAATAATAATATGGGAGTATACGGCCTTACTAATCGTTGATTAACTGTTGTTGATTATCTCTTAAATCAAGTATTAATTTTCTCTATACATGTATATTTGTTTAAAAAATACGATTTTTTGATTAAGGCCGATAATGTAATAAGGTTAATGTTCTAGTCAAATTACCATCTTCTTTGTATACTTAGACCAAGAAAGAAAGACAAACGGAGCGCTGCGTACATTTTAAGTGACCAATCCATGCTTAACTTCTTGACTCGGCACTCACGCCTACATCTTTCTTCTTTCTTTCTTTTTAAAATTATGTAAACGTCCACAGTTGGACGCACACATTTGCCTCTAAAATTTGTTGATTGCAAATGATGTTCGATGCATATACGCATATGCGCGAGTGCGTGTTCTCACAATAAGTTGAGCATGGGTTTTCTTATCACTTGAAATATACGGCAGAGCTTCATCTATCTTCTTTTCTTAGATTGAGTTTGTATATTTTAAAATACTGATGAAGTAACTTTTTTAGGACACTCAAACATTGCAAATTCAAGTGTTTACTAAAGATGGTATCAACTACCCAATTATTAGTTATCGATTGTAAAAAATGCTTACCCGATGTCGACGGGCTGTCGTTCGATAGTGGCCACCTTCTTGTCATTGTTGCTCGGCCACCGGTGGCCATCGGTGACGCTGTCCTCGAGCGGCTTCGCTCGGTGCAATGTGCCCGCTTCGCTGTTCATGTAGCGATATTGCTGTTGCTGCTGAATTGGACACTCCACTTCACCTGAAAAATATTAAGAATGTTAAAACAAAAGAGAGATATTTTTGATATACACTACTGGAACCTTAAGAAACCTGCATCAAATGTATCAGCTACGGATACATTTCATCCCTAGAGAACTAAGATAGAATGCCTGTAATTATACTGGCTCTACATACATTTATGCCGAAACACAACTGAGGATGCACTACTGCTTGGCAGAAAAAAGAGGTGAAAGGGTACCTCCCCAGGGTAGGTCAGTCTTCAAAAGTCAGTAAAAAAGGCACTCTACCACCAAGCAAATAGTTAAATATTTATATTTTAACAATTCTATGCCAGTACTTGACTACTATCTCACCTGACGGTACCTGGTGGTGATGCAGCCGTATAATTAAGCGCATTGACTTATTTTAACAAAATCTTATTTATTTTACTCTTCTCTTGAAGACCCCAATTGTAATCGGATCGGATGGAGAAACAGATGCTGGCCGCTTTTTGATAATTTTAAACAAATAATGATTTATGTAAAAGATTTTTATTTTTTATTTAATTTAAATCTGACAATTCGAAGAAAAATATATTCATTATATAATTAATGTTATGTTCATACCTCCTTCGTCTTCTGAGTCGCTCATGAAGGTGTCCTGCATGAGCTCTGGCGCTGCTACTCGGTATTTGCCTTCTACACCACCTGAAACAATAAAATATAAATATTACATAAAAAAGAAAAAGGTTTCAAGAAAATGTGTCTGACTTTGAATAAATATTTAATTATAACAAAGGAATTGTTTCTTTAGCGGCATTTTACTTTTTCTATTTATTTTTAATATGAAATTTCATATAAATTTTAAGTGGTATTGCAACAAATAAAGCTATCAATTGAATAAAGACGGTTATAAATCGATTAATTGACTTCTTCGGCCTAATTTAATTCGTCGAAATTGATACATTAACGTTGGCTTCACGTTGTAAACTGTACCGTATGTAGGGCATATTAATAAAATGTAATAATAGGTATGTCATAATTTGATTTTTAATTTTATCCTAATTTTAGTTCCTATTTTTTAGAGATTTTTTAAATTCTGAATATTACATATTTTTAACCGCACTGTTACGTGTAGACAAAGCACATTAATATTAAGAGAAAACACTAACGAATAAAACTGATGCTTTCATTCAGAATCTCAATTTACATGTCCATAAAAATAGTTGGAAAACGTAATTATCACTGGAGAATCTAATTCGTTCTATTTAATTCAATAGCAAGCCTTGTATTGTTTATATATACTCGTAATTATAGACATAAAAACAGGGCATGGAAATTGGAAATGCAAATCAATAAACTTTCTACCATAGATATAAAATAGTTCTCTGACTTGAAATCAAGAATATTTTTTTTGTTTTGATATCATAAATCATAATGCCAAACTAATTTAGAATTTTAATTTTAAGTACCAACGAATTGCTATACGCAAGACAGGTATGAGGAAATTCATAACTACAATATCATTATGAATTCGATAGTGCGACGCGACGGTGCGATGCTTTCATGCATACACAATCGGAAATATGTACAAACAAAAATATAAGAGTGAAAGAGACTAAATACTTTAAGGATACATTTGTCTCAGTCGTTGAGTGTTTTTTGGTGACAAATATGGCGAATGTTCACAATGAAATATCGCTCTGATTTGCATTTAGACAACCGGTGAAAAACAGTTACGTACATCGACTGTGATATAAAAGGGTCTTGAATAATATCTCTAGACCTAATAACAATTGTCGTCATAATGTACCTACAGTTAATTAACGGCTAATGTTTGAAACGTATGTTATGGTTTAGATATTGGTTTGAAATGGATTTTGATACGTAAAAGTGGTGCGATTTTGTGTATTTAAATGTCTGCGCATGGGAAGTACCTATTAGTGAAAACGATAGACAAGTGAAACTCAAGTTATTATATTATCTGCTTAGGATACCTTAAGATACATCATCATTCATCGACTGTGCCGAATCAAACTGCCATCAAAACTCCGAAAAAACGCATCAACATATCTCTATAAGTATATAAAAATCAATTGATTGATTTAATTGATGTCCGTTAGTCTCGCCAAAACTAGAAAACGGCTGGGCCGATTTTGATGAAATTTTCGTGCATGTTTGACTGGGTCCCTGGCAAGTATATAATCAAAGGTCCCTGGATGGTTTAAATACATTTTAATTGGACTCGGTAGGTGGCGCTGTTTGTCGAGATCCAGAAATCACATGTTGTGCGAAGCCGCGGTGAATCGCTAGTTGTTAATAAGTTTTAAAACTTCTATAGAATGATTTCTTATTACTAAAACTGGCAAAAGTACAATCGTACTAGTCCACTATCAAACAAAAAAAGCAAATTAACGAATCGTAAAGGCTTCTTCTTCTTCAATCCATTAGTTGATTATAAAAGTAGTTACCTAAATGTTGGGTACATTAAGATAAAGGATTCTTCTGTAGATAGAGCATCAAAATGAATTTTAAAGACATAAATTGCATTCGGACAAACTCCTACACCCGGATTATTGAAAAAAAAAATCATGTGCAGGCTATACAAGTGCTTGTATGGGAATCCGCAGCCCCCCAGTCCCGAAGTCAAACCATACTTATTTTATATAAGAAACTGTCTGCAGTGCTATGATTTAGTACAGCAGACACCATTCATAAATGTTTTGTAATTAAAACAGAAAGATAACAAAAGGAAATAATTTAGACAAAACGCTAATTATTCTTTGTTAATTTACTGATTTAGATCGTAATTAAATTTCAAATTATACGTAATCAATGTACGGAACAATGAAAAGGGAATAAAGCAGGGAATACACGATGATGCCATTTTACGATAAGTTTAATGCACCAGTACCATTATGACGCCCGCTAAGTGACACAGGGCAATAACAAACGGTAAATAAAGTATATACTCTATCTTTGCAAGCAGAATTATCTATTTTTGCTGTATTTATTTATCGCAAATAGATTCAAAGACATCGCTTGTAACTATTAAGTTGTATTGAGCAAACTGTTACTTGACCGAATCATGGGCGAAGGTTACGATTTAGTCACTTTTTTTTTTCAAATTTATTGCAAAGCAATGTACTCGTATATACAGTTTATGTAGAGTTGAATGAATTAAGAAAATAATTAAAAAGTCTAACTTTTCGGGTTTATAAGTATAAAGAAATCTTTGTCTTTGATTGTACAAGGTTTGCTCCAACTATGTCGTAATGGTTAACAATTAACATCTAATAAAGGTAGTTTAGGATAGTGTTAGTGCTCGTGTATAATCCGGCTCTATAATATGCCACAGTAGTATCAATTTTATTTTGAGTTATTGGAGAAGAAAGATTCTCGAGTAACAATCTCGTACTGGCCATGACAATCTCGTGTTGGGCGACTTCTTCGTCAGATCATTATTCCATCTTGTAGCGAGCACGGAGTCAAGGCTTTGTGGCAATCTATGGGGGAGGTCTGTGTTAACGAGTGGACTTGTGATGAGCTATAATGATGAAAATTGACGATAGTGGTGAGAAATGAGATACTGATCAGAAAATTGTCATCGTGGTCGTAAACTGGCAATGCCTACATGTAGGCATTTTACTATGTATGCTTAAGTTTAATTAGTAGTGATGCAACGAATACGAATACGAATATTCGTATTCGCCGAATAGTAGACGTTTACCGAATATTCGGCGAATACTAATCACGAATATTTAAAAACTTATGTTTTTGTACGCAACTCTAATTACTGGCAGATTTTGAAAACGCGCGTCGTCGGCGCCTAAAAAATACGACGTGTGCATAGTAGGCCCTTAGCCGCAACAACGGTACACAAGTGCAGGGGATTTGTTACTCAGTTTAACACACAAACAACTGAAAGATTCTGAACAAGCTAATAATATACCGAAAAATGTTTTGTTTCAAGATGTAACTAGATGGGACTCAAGCATATCAGATGTTGAAGAGATTACATGAACAACGCATAGCGATTCAAGATGTTTACCATCTCTACCAAATTTTCGTCATGAAATCACAGCAAGGCAATGGGCTCTTATGAGCCAAATTATTGATATTCTGACCAAATTTGAAGAAGCTACTAAAGAGCTAAGCAAAGAATCAACGACCTTATCTCAAGCAACCCCAATAATACGAAGTCTTAAATCTTGCCTCTGACCCATTGGTCTTTTATTAAGCGAGAAAATGTCCATTTTCCAAGACTAAAAAAACTCGCCCAAAATATTTTTCACTGAAACCATATACAGACGCCTCGGAAAGGCTTTATTCAACGGCTGGGAACATCCATACTGAAAAAAGAAATTGCCTAAAACCAGATAATCTACAAATCTTATGTTTTTTGAATAAAAATTTGCCTGTTGTAAAATTTAATTATTAGAACAATAGAAAATCATTTAAATAAATTAGTTTTTAATTACCATGGCGTGATATTCGTATTCGTATTCGTATTCGCTGAATAGTAGGCTTGATATTCGTATTCGTATTCGTAAAAGTAGTATTCGTTGCATCTCTACTAATGAGACATTATAAAACATAAAATATAAAAATAATGATAAACCGTGGCAGTGGCCGTGTAAGAATGTTTACTACCCTATAACACGATATCATCCCGAATGGGCAGCAGCATCTCATAATAATAATAAAAACAACTCAAAAAAATAACCCCCGCCTGTCAAGCATGGCAACTATGGCAACGTTCAACAGCGTACTTTTGTAGGTTGTAATGGACTCTGCAGTTTTAAGTGTGTTTAACAACTTGAAGCTATTTTTATCACGCCTATCCATTTGACTCGAGTCTGTTTATTTGTTCATTGTACAATAATGAGATTCTTCCGGATTACCTCATCATATACGGAGTCTCGCAGATGAATAAATGAGCGCTTCAAATAGCCGCTAAGCTATTACTGATCAACATACAAGTTGATTTTAAAATGTAAAGATAAGTGTGGCCTTGCTTGTTTTATTGCATAACCATAAATGCTGAATGTGTCACATTTGAGTTGAGTTTCTAGTGTTATCGATTTATTTGCACGAAAAACTCATTGTTTTAATGTAGATTATGAAATTTTTGTTATAAGCAATATACTTTCATCAGATAATTTTCACAATTTAAATACATATTTATCAATTACATAATTCTATTTACTGTTCTTAGTCTATTTTTTTACAAAGCTATCCTTTTTTTAAATATTTTTAAAACGTTAATATCAAAAATTCAAAAGATACATAAATGTTACTCAGTTTTGCAGTGCAATTTATACCTTATTCGTAAGTTTGCGACAGTATAACGAGTCCACATCATCAGATATAGCCAGCCAATCCATTTTCATAAATTTACATTATATTTAGTTAAAAATTAAAAACAAGGTTTAATATCGAAGTTTTCTATATAAGTTAGTAACAAATTTAAGATATTATTTATACGTAGACATAAGAAGAAACGTGAAATATTTAACGTTATTTAATTAAAATTTCTAATTACATAGTCAATAACAGTCGCCATAAAAATTAAAGCAAAGTTAGAGATACGTTACGTCCCACAACTTGGTACAGGTCTCTTCGCATTTTTGAGAGAGTTAAATAAATACTAAACAACCTATCTAATATTATTTCTCATTACCTGGACAATGTCTCTTACGAAGCTC